ACTGTATCTTGAAAGACATTAAGTTCTTTTTTTAAGAAACAGGGTCTCACTGTCGCCAAGGCTGAATTGCAGAGGCAGGACCACAGCTCACTGTAGCCTCAATCTCCTGAGCCCCAGCTATTCTCCAAACTCAACCTCCCAAACAGATGGAACCACAGGTACACACCCCTACACCTAGCTAATTTTCAAATTTTTTTGTAAAGACGGGGTCTCACCATGTTGCCATGGCTGGTCTCAAAATATTGGCCTGAAGCAATCTGACTGCCTCAGCCTCCCAAAGTGCTAAGATTACAGGCATGAGCCACTGAGAACGATGACTTACAAATCTTCTACTCAGATCTTGCTTCCTGCAAATTTGAAGACGTCCTCTAACTACTAGTGTTAATCTATCAGCATAGCAGTTCAAGTCCTGTGCTTAACTGAGGTCCAGCTGTAGTGAGTCTGTACATCTCACCACCTTAAAATGCTACAAAAGACTCATTTATCCACAAATATTAACTGTAACATCCTGAAGTTTCCAGACATTTAATCTAGAAGGAATTCAAGCTGTCAGGCAAGGTGTGGTGGCTCACGCCTGTAATCCCAGCACTTTGGGAGGCTGCGTCAGGGGATTGTTTGAGCCTGTGAGTCTGAGATCAGCCTGGGAAATACAAGGGGACCTCCTGTCTAAAAAAAAACAAAAACAAACAAACAAACAACAACAACAAAAAAAAAACGTAAAAAAAAAAAAAAAATTATCCAAGCTGGTAAAAGGACCACTTGAGTCCAGGAGGCAGAGGCTGCAGGGAGCCAAGGTTGCACCACAGCCCTCCAGCCTGGGCGACAGAGCAAGACTCTGCCTCAAAAATAAAAAGAAATTTAAAAATGAAAAACCACTCTTAGCTCACTGTCTAAACAAAATCAGGTAATTGGCCCGTAGCCCTGTAGTACCTGACCGTCCATTTCTGGTCGCTAACGATGACCACATATCCAAATTACGGTAAAGCTACCCAACAGAGACAAAGATTAGCGATTGGTGTCACGACCCCCGTTCCGCCTGCACCAGAGGCGGAGTCGCTACAGCTCTCCGCGAATTTAACAGGCGGTCGGCGTCCCTCAGCCTCTCGCTGGGTCTGAACGCAGCTGAGTGAGGCATGCGAAGACCTGAGAACGAAGGTTTCAGGACAGCAACCAGGGACGGCAGCACATGGGGCAGCCACTCCGTCTTCGGGCACAGCTGCCCAACGAGGGTTGTAAAAGACCCAAGTCACATCCTTCAGGCGCGTGCTGGCGCGGGCCCAGGCGACAGGGATTCCACCCCGCTAAGGCCGCAAACTGCGGGCCACGGGCGAGGAGCCCAGCGCGCAGGCCGCCAGGCCGGAAGGCGCAGGCTCCACCTCCCGCCGAGCGCGGCGCTCGCAAGCCGACGGCGACCTGAGCGCACCGGCAGGCGAGGACTGCGGGCGCTCACTGCCGACACGGGGCCCGCCAAAGCCGGCGTCTCCGCGCCGCCGGACCGCCCACCTGGGGGGCCCGCTCCCCTGCGCCTAGCAGCGCGGACAACCACCCTCGGGGCAGTGATGACGGTCCCTCGCGCCGGAGGGGGCTTAGTGAGGAAAGAGAGAAACTGGTGGCCACCGGGGAAGAGCACTGCGCTTCTGAGCAACCCCAGACACCACCACTGACTGAAAAGCCGCGGCCCCCAGCGGCGCGGACGCGCGACCTCCCGGCTCCTGAGAGACCAGACCCGCGGAGTCTCGCGGGATCTCGCTGTTCTCAGCGGCGCAGTGAATGAGACCGATCGAGGGGGTTCCACCAGCGCCGGGAGAGGGTCTGGTGACCTCGCAGCTCCTCCCACGTCTCCCCGGCAGCCCGCCTTGCGCATGCGCGGGTGGCGACGGCCGGCTACGGGTCGCGCGCGCGGCTGGCGCTATGGGGTTGAGCCGCGTCCGGGCCGTTTTCTTTGACTTGGACAACACGCTCATCGACACGGCCGGGGCGAGCAGGAGAGGCATGTTGGAGGTAACGTCCTCTCCCGTGGCGCTCCTCTCGGCGGGGTCAGTGCGCCCCGCTTCGTCCTGCGCGCCCACGTCCCCTTGACCCCACTTTCACCCCGGGGCCGCTCCTGCTTGTTGAGACTCAGAGCGTCCGAGTGCGGGGTGGCTGGAGGCGTGCGGGCCCTGCGGGGCTGCTTTCCCTGGCCTGGCCGCCGCTTGCCACCCAGCCTTGGACCCCGGGGCGGCTGCTCGCAGGTGCCTCGGCGCGCGGGACGCGGAAGGGCGCCGTGACGGCTGCCACGCTGGCGGAGACGCCCGTGGGCGCGGGAGGCGGCAGCAAAGCCGCGAGACCAGGTGCTGGGTCCGCCCAGGGTCCGGCTGTCGGCGCGGAGCTCGCCGGAGGGTCGCGTCCCCCGCGCGGCCTTCAGGGGTGCTGGGAGGAGACTTGGCAGAGTCAGCTCCAGTGTTGACCCAAGGAGTGACGGCTGTCGGTGGCGGGCCTGGACTTCAGCCCTGCTGTAGAGAATTGTCCCCGCAGAACTCCCTCTGGCCTCCCCGGAGGGTTGTGGTCCCCGTGGCTTTCCGAGGTGACACAGCAGAAGCCCGTACTGCGAGAGCATGCCCTTCCCTAGGCGCAGCTCCCCGGCACCCGCTCCTCTACGCGCGTGCAGGCGGCTTCAGATCCTCCCATGCTCCAGCCCCAGTCCACCCGGCTTCCTTTGTCTGCCTTCAGCTTTAAGGGGAAAGCAAAGGGTTTATCAATTGTGGAAAAACCCGCATTCAAAAGCTAATTCGTCCAAACCTGAGCGTCCCGTCCTCTTCATGCTTCAGTTAGTTTTTGTGTCCCTGGATCTTCCACTGCCTCATCCGTTTTCTTTTTAGGCGCATTCTACTCCTGCCTCATATTCATGTTTGCCATAGTTTTTTGTTTTGTTTTCTTTGTTTGTTTAATGTAAAAAGGACGCCTCCCTTTGGGCTGTTCTTCCTGCTGTAGATGTTACCTGTCTCTCTTGACAGCCATGTATTCCTGGAGAAATCTATACCCATTATCTCCTTGTCTCTAGCTTCTATTTATTACTAAATCCATCGTAGTGTCACTTCATCTTCACCACTAGACTGAAATAGACTTGCTGGGTCACTAGGCAGTCCCAAATTGCCAGAATCCGTGAATGTTTTTAAGTCTGTCTTCATGACTTTACTGAGGCATTCCACATTATATTACTGTATAACGTTGGCCTCCGCCTCAGCGATGCCACCGTGTGCCATATTGCCTCTAGTATCTCTTGCTGTGGACATTACATATTTACCTGTGGGTTATTAGCAAGCTAAGCCCTATGCGTTTCAATTAAGTTACTGCTTTAGGCCAATTCTTGCTGTAGGCCAACAGGTTGGGCTTTAAAATCAGACATTTTAATATGAATCACAGCTCTCCCAAAACCTAGCTGAAAGTGCCTTAACGAGTTAACCACTCGGAGCCTTGTATCTTCATAAAATGTGAATTATATTACTCCTCAATAACCCTATAATGCTTGGGAAGCCCATGGGTGCAGTGTCCACTCAGCGAATTATAGCACCTTTCACCCTCCTTCCTCAGCCTGTCCACCACTGCACATTCCCCATGCCATGTCTCAACTACAGCTCATTTCTCACCGAGACTGTTGTTGTGGGCTTGCCTTTAGGTTTACCACATCCAGTATGTCCTCCACATTCTTGCCACAGCAACATTTTTAAAACAAAGATTAAATTGTATGTTTCCCTGGTCTTTACACTCTCACTTATACTAGTGCTGCATTTTGTTCAGATATTTGTTTCTTTTCTGTTTTTCAATTTGAGACAAAGTCTCGGTCTGTTGCCCAGGCTGGAGTGCAGTGGCGCGGCTCACTGCAACCTCTGCCTCCTGGGTTTAAGCAAATCTCCTGCCTCAGTCTCTCGAGTAGCTGAGACTACAGGCACCTGCCACTACGCCTGGCTCATTTTTGTATTTTTAGTAGAGATGGCGTTTCACTATGTTGGCCAGGCTGATCTTGAACTCCTGACCTTGTGATCTGCCCGCCTTAGCCTCCCAAAGTGTTGGGATTACAGATGTGAACCGCCTCACCTGGCCTTGTTCAGATATTTCTTAATGCACCTGTCAAAGGATATTACAATTAATTTTGCAACTCAGGTGGCTACGACTAAATAGTGAGCTTCTTGGGAGGGAACAAGCTGTCTTATTTATCCTCATTCGACAAATGGCAAATGTCGAATAAATGCTGGATGGATGGATACAAATTTTTGCTTTGAGACTTGGTTCTGTTACTGCCTCCTTTATAATTAGTCTGTAACAATAAATGAGCAGGAAAAGAAATGAGCCTAATAAATTAGCAGAATCGAACTGTGCTCTTGGTTTTACAAGGAATACTTTATCACGTAAGGAAACAATAGCATTCATGGATGTTGAGCTATTCAAAAGTAACCATGCCAGCTTTCATAAATCACTGTAAATAATATATGAATGGAGGAAGAGGGAAAGGTTCAGCCATTGCCTTGGGTTGGGGAGAAGGGGTTGTATACTGACTGTATGTATCAACTTCAACTTTTTCTAATCACCTAGGGAAGTTATTTTTTTTCCTCCCTAGTTAGACTTTTCATGGCAAGTACCCAAAAGGAACTTTTCTGCAGAAACTTGACAAAGCAGAAGAGATTTCTGCATTTGTGAATTTACTTCTTAGTGGGTATGGCAAGGAATGTAATAAGTATTTATAGTTGTGGTAGAAAAAGTGGAGAGGGTAACAAATCAACATTTTTTTTTTTTCCTTGAGATGGAGTCTAGCTCTGCTGCCCATGCTGGAGTGCAATGGCACGATCTCAGCTCACTGCAACCCCCACCTCCCGGGTTGAAGTGATTCTCCTGTCTCAGCCTCCTCAGTAGCTGGGATTACAGGCTCCTGCCACCACACCCAGCCAATTTTTGTATTTTTTTTTTTTTTTTTTTTTTTTTTTTTTTTTTTTTTTTTGAGACAGAGTTTCGCTCTTGTTACCCAGGCTGGAGTGCAATGGCGCGATCTCGGCTCACCGCAACCTCCGCCTCCTGGGTTCAGGCAATTCTCCTGCCTCAGCCTCCTGAGTAGCTGGGATTACAGGCACGCGCCACCATGCCCAGCTCATTTTTTGTAGTTTTAGTAGAGACAGGGTTTCACCGTGTTGACCAGGATGGTCTCGATCTGTTGACCTCGTGATCCACCCGCCTCGGCCTCCCAGAGTGCTGGGATTACAGGCGTGAGCCACTGCGCCCGGCCCAATTTTTGTATTTTTATTAGTGATGGGGTTTCACTGTGTTGGTCAGGCTGGTCTCAAACTCCTGACCTCAAGTGATCCTCCTGCCTCAGCCTCCCAAAGTGCTGGGATTGCAAGCATGAGCCACCGCACCTGGCACAAATCAACATTTTAAACAGACTGGTCAGATTTGGCCTCATCGAGTAAGAGGATGTTGGAGCACAGACTTGAAATAAAAATAACAGAAGGGCTGCTTGAATTGCTAGACTGTGTGCAGGCAGTCCTCACTTTGTGAGTGTGTTTTTAAATTATTAAGTTTTATTTGGAATTCATCCCCTTCTGTTGTGCCGGATCCCTATTGATTTCAGTAGGGATAGCACCATGTTCAAGAGGCTAAAGAAGAGACCTGGAGTCAGCAAACGAGAACGGGTTTTTGAGGGAACTTACATACTAGACGTCCGGTGGGGGTGACTGGACAGACCGGCAGCCACTTGTAGAAGAAATGCAGTCTGTATAGCGTTTTCACTTAACACCCTAACCGCAGCAACCTCCTCCTGGCTACCTTCCTTTAATGGAAAACAAAACGCCTCAATCTCCTCTGCAGCCTGAGCTCTGCAGGATGGGATGGGCCAGGGTTCAGATCTTCCTCATGGATAAAGAATGAATATCTGGATTGGTCACTCTTGGACTCATTATCTCAGAACCCAGATACACATTCCTCATAGACCACAGGGTCATTCTCAGGGTCTGCGTAAGTTAATGCTGTCAGGTGCACCTGCCATACATTTCACATCCAAATGATTAGTATTCAGAATACACTTTTCTTAAAGTGTTGTAAAGTATTAGATGGTTCCCAAACTAAGCCCTCGAAAAGTCTTTTAAAATCAGTTAGCTAAACTAAAGTATTGATGATATTAACTTTAGTTCTGGGTCTAGAAAGACAGTAGAAGAATAGAGTTTCCTTTTTGTATATGTTTAGAGAGAGCCTTAAGATAGAGTTTTGAAGTGGATGAAGTTTGAGTTTATTAATAATCTACTGATAGCCCGCCCCTCTGTCAGAGCAGGGCCCCTTTCTTCAGGCCAGCGAGCACCTGGTGGGCCCTTTATACCAAAATCTTTTCAGGCTTGCCTTACCAATCACACACAAAGTATCATCATGCCTCCAAGTTAGAGAGCTGTAATGAGTGAGTGCTAATAACCTTTTTTCCTAAAAATGTTAATATTGTTAAAATGCCACTTGTTGTCCCAAATCAATCTGTAATTAGTTGCTGTGTGACCAAATGGGGAAGTTAATTGAAGGGATAGAATAGGAAGAGATTTTGAAACTTGGGAGTGGCATACCATGCCTTTACAAACATCTCCCTTTTAAGGTGAGCAAATCCTGCTTTTTCAGAGCCTCAAGAATGAATTTAGTGAAGCACCACTTGCAGTAACAGGAAATTGGGTCTATATTGGGAGCTCTGTGTTTACTGGTATGAGCCAGCCCCTATTTGAGCTCAAGCTCTGCGGAGCCCTAGAGGCATGTGTCCTTCGCAGCTGTAGGGTTGCTGAAATTTTAGAGCTCCTGTCAGTCGCATTCAATTGATATTGCTAGCAAAGATGGTGAGATAAACATGGAAACTGGAAAAGCTTTGTTTGTTAATAGAAATTTATAAAGCAAAAATTTGCGATGTTTTGCCTCTACCTAAAATTCCTAGGGCTAGTATATTTTTCTTGGGCAGATAAGATTTTTCTTAATGATTATATTTTCTTTTCTTTATTCTTTTTTAAAATATTTCTTTTTCTGATATGGATAAGTCTTCTGATGCATTTTCCAGTTAGCACAAATACCTCAAAAAATATTTTCCTTTCAGCCAGGCACAGTGGCTTACATCTGTAATCCCAGCACTTTGGAAGGCCAAGGCAGGAGCATTGCTTGAGGCCAGGAGTTAAAGACACTCCTGGGCAATACAGCAAGACCCCTGTCTCTAACAACACCAAAAAAATTATTAGCTAGGTATGGTGGTGTGCGCTTGTAGTCCTAGATACTCAGGGGATGAAGGGAGATGAGGCTGGGAGTTTGAGGCTGCGGTGAACTATCATCATTCCTCTACTGCACTCCAGGCTGCGTCTGAGTGACAGTGAGACCCCATTTCCAAAAAAAAAAAAAAAAAATTCTTTTTCCTTTGTTGTGATTATTTAACTCTGAGGGAAGAAAAACATGTGCGTTTCTTTCTCAATAGGTGAGTTGAGTTTCTGGTGTGTGAGTAGCATACTGCTTATTCCCTAGTTCCCACAGATATATTTTAGCCCTAGCTGGGTACGTTTCAAAGATGCAGCATTGCCTGTCATGCTTGACTTTCCTCAGATGCTCCCTGAACACAGTGACTTCCAGTGCAGGCAGTTCATGAGGTGATCCCAAGACACACGTTAAAGGGTCAAGTGCATACAGTTCATGAGGTGATCCCGGGACACACATTAAGGGGTCAGGGAGACAGGAAGGGGAAGGAGTTCAGTACAGGTTAGAGCAGCTTAATGAGCAGGTTACTGCTGTGAACAGCTGGAGGAGCTGTTCACAGAACAGCTCTGGGAGACAGTACACAGAACAGCGTTCAGTTGTGCTCCCCAAGGGGCAAGGAAGCTGTGATATTTATTCGCCAATTTCTACCCAACATTGGTTGAAGGCTGCTCCCAGGGCAACACTTTTTAGCCCCATCCTGTGTGTATAGATGCTCTTGTGTGTAGCCAAATAAAGCCCACAATTAGAGAGGCCCATACCTGGAGTGGGAAGCCGCTGACCAGTACATATAGTGTGTGTCAAGGGGATTTCTTCAGCACCTGCTACAGCATGGGGTTCAAGACTTCACAAACACAAACAGGCTCCCCACCTCCATCTCTTGGCAGCTTCCCTCACATGCCTCTATTTGGGCTCAACTCAGCTTCTTGCTTTTCCCACAAAATTTTAAACTTTTGGCCTTTATTCATGCTGTTCCTTTGTCTGGAAGGATTTTCTTCTCTTCCCATACCCACTTTTTCTGCTTGTTTATTCCTTGTCTCAGTGTGACTCTCTGCCAGCTACCCTGTGGAATGACTTCCATATTCTTCCCACAGCTTGTTTAAACTGCTCCCATGGCACCACCCCCTCATGCACCATCATTTGTAGTGGTTGTATATTATATTCCCCACCAGATAATGCCCCGAGGACAAAGGCCAGTCTCCAGAGCCTAAGACATAGTGCAAAGGCAAGCACATGGCTTTGGAAGTACGCAGGTGTGTGGATGCAAGTTAGATGGGCAAGTTATTAAGTTCTACACTTCCCTGCCTCATCTCAAACAGGGAGCTGTCTTGCAGGATTGTAGAAAAGATTCGAAATAATGTGCTAAGTATATGATACAATGCTTGCCACGTTAGGGCTTTTAGGAAAAGTTAGAAGATAGGCCAAATGGATTAGTATTATAAAAAGCACACATAAAGAGCCTTGGGAACATGAGAGAGGGAGTACTTAACTCAAAGTACAGAACTGGAGCCAGGCACAGTGGTTCATACCTATAATCCCAGCACTTTGGGAGAACAAGGTAGGACGATCACCTGAGGTCAAGAGTTCTAGCCAGCCTGACCAACATGGTAAAACCCGCCTCTACTAAAAATACAAAAATTAGCCAGACATGGTGGCGGGCACTTGTAGTCCCAGTTATTCAGGAGGCTGAGGCAGGAGAATCACTTGAACCCGGGAGACAGAAGTTACAGTGAGCTGAGATCGCACCACTGCACTCCAGCCTGGGTGACGGAGCGAAACTCTGTATCCAAAAAAAAAGGTACAGAATTGAGCACGCACGGTGGCTCTCATGCCTGTAATCCCAGCACTTTGGAGGCCGAGGCAGGCAGATCACTTGAGGTCAGGAGTTTGAGACCACCCTGGCCAACATGATGAAACCCTGTCTCTACTAAAAATACAAAAATTAACCAGGCGTGGTGGCAGGCGCCTGTAATCCTAGCTATTCCGGAGGCTGAGGGAGGAGAATCCCTTGAGCCTGGGAGGTGGAGGTTGCAGTGAGCCAAGATGGTACCACTGCACTCCAGCCTAAGCTACAGAATGAGACTGTCTAAAAAAAATAAAAGGACAGAATTGGATCCCATTCTAGATGTTAGTCCATTTAGGTCTTCAAAATGTGAAGTGGCTGTAGATGAGAAAAGATTATATGAACTAAATGTTATTTTTTCTGAGAATAGTCTAACTAGTGGTTGTCAGAAATTTTAAATGTTTTACCAAAAATAAATACAAAGGTTTTTTTGTTTTTTTGAGATGGGGACTTGCTATGTTGCCCAGGCTGGTCCTGAACCCCCTAAGCTCAAGCGATCCTGCCACTGCAGCCTTCCAAAGTGCGGGGATTACAGGCATGAGCCACCATGCGCAGCCCAATAAGCACAAGTTTTATTTTCATGTCTATGTGACCAGAGTGAAAGATGTTGAACTCTAAACTGCCAAAGGATTGTTATTAGCTATATATAAAGAAATTGGCTTTCAAAAATAAGTGAGCTCTGGAGAGGTTGGGAAAACTTTCACCTTGTCTCTAAAAATAAGGCCGATTCCCACCAGAAATGGCCTGCTTTAAAGCAGAGGAGTGGGCCAGGCACAGTGGCTCACGCCTGTAATCCCAGCACTTTGGGAGACCAAGGCAGGTGGATCATGAGGTCAGGAGTTCGAGACCAGCCTGGCCAATATGGTGAAACCCCGTCTCTACTAAAAATACAAAAAATTAACTGGGCATAGTGGTGTGCACCTGTAGTCCCCGCTGCTCAGAAGGCTGAGGCAGGAGAATTGCTTGAACCTGGGAGGCAGAGGTTGCAGTGAGCCGAGATCATGCCACTGAACTCCAGCCTGGGTGACAGAGCAAGACTCCATCTCAAAAAAAAAAAAAGCAAAAACCAGAGGAGTGGAGTTGTAATCTCTCAGCCACTTGTAGGATCACAGCTTCCTAGGGCATGACTATTAAAGATACGCAGTGTGTTAATGGAGTTGTTTTCCATTACTTAGGTGATAAAGCTCTTACAATCAAAATACCATTATAAAGAAGAGGCTAAAATCATCTGTGATAAAGTTCAAGTAAAACTCAGCAAGGAATGTTTTCATCCTTATAATACATGCATTACTGATCTAAGGACTTCACATTGGGAAGAAGCAATCCAGGAAACAAAAGGTGGTGCCGCCAATAGAAAATTGGCTGAAGAATGTTACTTCCTTTGGAAATCTACCCGTTTACAGCATATGACACTAGCAGAAGATGTCAAAGCCATGCTCACTGAACTTCGAAAGGAGGTCCGCCTACTTCTATTAACAAACGGGGACAAACAGACCCAGAGGGAGAAGATTGAGGCTTGTGCCTGTCAGTCCTATTTTGATGCTGTTGTTGTAGGTGGAGAGCAGAGAGAGGAGAAACCAGCACCGTCCATATTTTATTACTGCTGCAGTCTTCTCGGAGTACAACCTGGGGACTGTGTGATGGTCGGTGACACATTAGAAACCGACATCCAAGGAGGCCTCAATGCAGGATTGAAAGCAACAGTCTGGATCAATAAAAATGGAGTAGTGCCACTGAAGTCCTCCCCAGTTCCGCATTACATCGTTTCTTCTGTGCTAGAATTACCTGCTCTCTTACAAAGTATAGACTGCAAAGTCAGTATGTCCGCTTAAAGCACATAAAAGGGCATGATTATGAATGTTAGAGTCAATTTGCAGAGTATGAACTAAGAAAAGTTAGGGTACTCCACTTATAATAATCCAGCTCTAAGAATAATTTTACTTATGATTTAATGGCCAATATTTTGAAGTTATTTAAATTGTAACAACCAACCATTGACTGATACTTATATCTGAAAATTCAGATTGCATTAATACAAGTCAGTGGTATAGCCTAGAAAATTTGAGAAAATATGTGTTAGTCTGTAACTGGAGCTTTTAAAAATTATGTTATTAATCTTTTAGTATCTCGGCTCCATAATGCCAGGCAGGATTGCTTTACACATGGATGCCCAAATGTAAGGTTTATCTTCTGGCTTAAAAATATTTTTTAAAAACAGATGTTTCTAAAATACACAGATTTATCAAAGCAGCTGAATCTGGTTAATATGAAGTACTAAGTCACATGCAAATCGAGGTATTTTATAGTGAAATTATTTGGCATATTTTGAAAACAAACAGTTATGAAAACAAGCAGTATTTTTTGCCTACTTTGGATGTATACTTTCTATTATGAATCTGATTTTTCTTATGACCTTTTTTTTTGGAGGGTAGGGGGCAGTTTTTCTGTGATGTGTGACAGAACAGTTAGAAAAAGCTGTTAAAATCAACACGTGGTGCTCCATTACCATGACATTTTCTCACCTGTGCACAGTG